AATTGTGATTGGTTTTGTCATATAATGTCTGAAATTCATAGGAAGATTTCAAGGAAATGCAATTGAACAGGTTAAACGCAACTTGTTTATATGCAGAAAAATGCTTGTTACATTTGAGAAATGGTTAAAGAATTTTACCTTGAACTTACTGTTTCGACAGTACTTATGGCTATCTGCTTGACTGTCAGCAGCAAAATATTTAAATTTCAAAAGCAGGCAACTGCTGCAGTGTCTACGCAAACGTATTGAGTATTTATTTCAAATGGCAGGCGTTTTGATAGTTATCATTAGCCCTTTAGCTGACATCGGGCTTCACAGAAGGGAGGGACATCAAAATGGGAAAAGTCGATAGGGGGAACAGAAGGGTGGTTCACAGAAGTAAAAGAGGCAGACTCAAAGGTAGAAGAAGGTAGGATGAGTATTGCGGAAGTGGTTGGATTTGACATACAGTGGGGCCGTGGTAGTTTGAAGTGAGAAGTCAACTGCCGGTTTGATAGATCTTTTTTTAGCTGTATGAGTTTACGTTGCCCAGGGCGCACCACGTGNAATTCAAATGTATGTAAACCTTAGGTCTTAGAAACTAAAGTGTGCCCTAATTTACATCCACTAGTCATGTGAGATAGGACGCCAGCAAAAAAAACTCAGTTTTTATGTTTATTATCTTATTCCCCTGGGTGAGCAACTCGCTGCTAATGATCTCTAAGTCACTTATCAATCTTATCAATATACAGCTGCAATCCGGTCCTCACAATAGATCGCGTTTCGAAAACCCATGTCTATCAATTTTTTAGTTGTTTTGAGCGCTGGAATCTATCCTATTTAAGAAAATTTTCATCATCTATTTATTTATATCAAATGGCAGGCGTTTTGATAGCTATCATTAGCCCTTTAGTTGACTTCAGGCTTCACAGAGGTGAGAAGGGACATCAAAGCGAAAAAAAGTCGAGAGGGATAAGCAGAAGTGTGATCCGCAGATGTAAAAGAGGCCGACACAAAGGCAAAGAAAAGGTAAGATGAGTACTGTGAAATTAGTCGAGTATGGCATCCAGTGGGGTTATGGTAGTTTGAAGTCAGAGGTCAACTGCCAGTTAATAGACTTTTTTGTCGTATGAGTATACGTTGCCCAGGCTGCACCACGTAAAGATAAGTCTATCTCACGCCCCATTTCATCACTTATAAAAATCATTGGAATTATAGTGAACCCCAGTTTGCCAAAAAGCAAAAAATAGACTACCTTAAAATTATAATGTTAGTCCAAAGACTAAATGGATGTGAGATTCGAATATTCAAAATTGATAATTTCCTACTTCTACTCCCTTCTTATATCCCCTTATTGTTATTAACAGGTTACCTTTTAGTGAGTAAAGCTTGTAGGCTCATAGTTCATAGGTTGACATTATTCCCGAGGTGATCTAGGTTACGCATTGAATGCGTTAACCTTATTTTGGCATTAAATTACAATTTTGGGAACTTTCATTCATTTATTAAAAGTTACATTTGCATAATGGTGTATTTTTGCGAATGAAAAAAAAACAAGAAAAGTCAATTAGAAGTAAATGTGAACATAATTTTGCCTTATAATTACAATTACATTAAGAAGGATATCACTCAGCATAGTGTTAGTCCTATTAACTTGATTGAATTGTAGGCTTTAAACAGTATTAAACAGCATACAGTCATATAATCTTTATGTCGAACACAACTAATGGGGTCTGTGCCTCGACATTTTACTTCATACATCTTTCAAGCGCGTTTACATTTTATGCCAATTGCCATAAAATAGCATTTATCATTAGGAGGGCTTCTTAATACGCTTCATCTGCCCAAACTACACCCCATTCAGCATGTTTTGCCATATCCAACCGTAAAAACTCAAATGGATTATTCTAGAACATTTAATTTACACTTGCGCGCAGAGCCATGAGAATTATCTGACATGGCAGGCTTCTAGCCTTCGCTCCTCGTATTCATTCCCCCGCTGAGAGAGGTTGAAAAATATTAGAGGCGAGGGCGGGGGGTGGGAGAGGGGGAGGGGAGAATTCTGAGAAGTAGAATAGGAATGGAGAAATGAAGTGAGTTGTACGTCACACTCAATGATCTTTTAATCAACGACAATTTGCTAATTGACTGTGCAAGTCAATGCAATTACGTTTGATTTTATAACTTGCTAATGTGATTTTGATTTCAGTAGGCTATATCAGTAGTCAACTGTTAAACGATGTAGTTAGGAAAACGGGCTTTCGATTGAATAACTCCCTTCAATTTTAATGAAAATCCTGATTTTAGTTTTGCTCCTTCACAATAAATTCTGCAACTAATTGCGCTGAGGGTGCATACAACATGAAAGTCTGCTTTTATGCTCGCTCGATAGTAACAATAGGTCATTTTATTCATAAGGGACTAATTAATGATTATTAAAATATAATTTTGAGTGAAGTGGACCATGAATTTCGTGATTCCTGCTTATTCACTATTCAGCTTAGAAGAATTTGTACGGGTTTCTCTAAAAGGTCCTTTGAAATGTTCCCCATGAACTTTTAATTTCATCATCGGGAATAGCATTCGGATGGTGTTCTGATCAGCATTCTTTGACAATATCTAAAGAATCCACAAAGTGAATATCTAGAGTACCTGTCGATCATTATGCCTGTGGAACAGTGACCGCATCGATAGGGCAAATCATCACCTTCTTGGGAAAAGAATGTCCAGAAGTTTTGAACAATTTTGGAAGAGATGGAAACAAAATTTGCAGAGTAAAAAAGTCAGAACTGCAAGTTAAATTGCACTGTACACGCAATGTCATGGAAATCACTAGCTGGTGAAATTACATACCCTAAATGGTCCCCAATAGAAACACCATCTTCTTTTTGCCTCGTTTTAATCTGCTCCAATTTCGGTCGCAACTTTTGTACTTATCAGCGCATTAAACAGTAGGTTAAAACTAATGACAGTCAAATACAGGGGACATACCATGGGCCTTTCTAATAAGATATGGAGTAAAGTTAAGTAGGCTTGTAGTAATAATTATCCATTTTTTTTACTTATAATTTCAAAGGGAAGTTTGCCACTAAAAGCCATGGCACGATGAAAAAGGGTCATCTAACCTATCATGATAATCCCTCATAATCAATATTTAAGTCTCCTAACTAAGTGCATACAAAAGAATTGCTTTATCTAATTAAACAATTATTCGCTGTCGATTGACAAGAAAAATGGAATGGCAAGGTTAGTTGTTAATGAAATGTGATTCAAAATACACAATCTCACAAAGAGATTTGCAAAGTGCTCTCTACCAAGTTCTTTAAAGTGCATTTGGTTATCAATTTTCGGGGTTGAGATTTTAAAACCCCTTTTGTGCTATTTCAGCACCATCAAAGATCATCCCGATAAGGGTCATCTTGTGAGTCCCAACACACAAACGACACTTCAAGGTCATCAACCCTTAGAGGAATTCCACAAATTTCACCTACACTGAAAATCAAACATCTTACAGCGATTTGTGTTAATTTATATTTATTAAATAATCCATTTCAATTATTAAAATGATTTCTTATGTTAGAGTATTTATGAATCAACTCAACGGCAAACCAAGTTATCGCAGACCTAATTGGTAATATAATTCCAGGAAGGAACTACTGTGAGACTGGGTTTCTGGGTATCTGGTTCTTGCATATTACTCCCTTTCTACTGTAGTAAGGAGTGGACGAATGCAGGGTCAAAGGCAGTACTAGTGCGAATCTTCGTTTGTGAAACCTGTTTTCTAATGCAAATTCCTTTTCAATCAAACTTAGCTTCTCAAAGATCTTTGGCAATTGACATATCAGGCCCAGGAGGGCATCGATGACAACTACCCTCACCCTCCACTCCACCCCCCACCAAACACACACAACCTTCCCCTCGAAATACTATTTGAATTAACGTAGCGTCTTTTTGTCTGCATGAAATAGATTAGTAAATGCTCTCCAGAAGTAACCAATTGTAGTCATTTTTCAACGCTTTTAGCTAAAACGACCTTAATTAATTTGACGAGAACTGTGAATTTGCTTCCCATTTATGACCTACCACTACGAACTTTAATGCTTCTATTATTCTTCTTTACATCGAGATCAAATCAATAGTAATTAGTAATTTTGATGGTCACTCGGCGCAGTAATTTGCATTTTATTGTTACTAATAAAAAATACTCTCCCCATTGTGGTAAGTAGTAAGTAATACTGCCGGAGTTATATAAATGCATATGATGTGACTATTAAGTTTCTTCCCCCCCCCTCCGTCCCCACCCCCTNGGGGGTGGAGGGTTCCGTAGAATTCAGCGTTGGTGAAACGAATCAGCGACAGGTGGTGCCTTCTTAACCGCTTTTTTTCAGATACACATACAATACACTGATTATGGGAATAGACTTCAACAAATTTGGTCCACATTGATTGTAATTCTTCTACTATTGCTTGGTGAAATGTTCGAAAAACTATCTCATTTGAAAACGTCACAGGATCACTATCATTTTCGAACAAATAACTCAATTTGTAATATGAAATCAATCGCAGTTGTGTTAAACCATTATTGTTCTCTCTCTCTCCCTTTACATATATCTTCAATCAAATATTTGATTTTTTATAATAAAAAATTAAAATCATTCGAAATCTTTTGGTAAATAAAGTTGCATAAAGTTGTGCAAAGAGCTTTGTTTGCGATGGGATAGAGTTTATAATTTCATTGGTTTATATAATTACATATCTGCGGCATTAAAAGACTGAGTTAAATATAAGTGATTACGCCGGTTTCATTCATTTAAGCAAATTTATTTGTTATTTTTATTCCTTAATTTTAGCCACTTAACTTTAATTACACTTTATCTAATTATTTTTTATACTTGGCATTAGCATTATACTTACTTAAATTTAGAATGTATTATATCCTCTAGCAAATTTATTTTATTTGAGGGTCATAGTTGGCACTACGCCTCGCGCAATTTAAATTCGATCGTTTTGTGCTCTTCCAGATGGCAGCGGATTCAATGACTTCACTCTTATTAAATATCAAAAATGCTATTTTTCCAGATGTATCAGCTAATATAGGTTCATCTGTTCGATTGAGATCAAAATCCGTAATGGGAAAAGTGAAGAAAGTTCATGCTCCTGCTTATGTAATGGCTAATATCTCCAGAAGTCTTTGTGCAAAGTATGTTTATGCAATAGCAGTAACGTTTTCTTTAGTATTCAGGAAAATGATCTGATTGCTCAGGTTTTGGATAAGATCAGAAGTAATATGCCTTCACCATTGATGATTATATCCGAATGTGAGTATAAAAGGCTACCAAATGGTAAACTATATTATATTTTCATCCCTCATTATTTCCTTATTTTTTTCAGGTTCCGACTATTGTGCATTTGATGATCTCCAGCGTCGTGGCATGGATAGTTTAAAACAGGCGCTCTTAAAAACCATTGAAATATCTCAAAGCAATGGCGACTCCTTTCACTCGACTATCCCATCTCGCGTAAATCAGTTTTCTGTCTCATCTGTTGTAAACAAGCGTAGAAGACAAGAGGATCGTTGGTTTTTCGAGCCGGATCTAATTGCCTATGCTCCAGTTGATGAAGTAAGCTTTTTTATACTTTAAATTTACTGAGATACGCCGCATTGGCGATCGTTTTACTTTACTTATTAGATTGCGAATTGTTTATTCATTTTGAGTTCACTTTATCTTTTATCACAGTTAGTGCGTTCGCTGTTTTGGTTATGTTTTCTATGTTGAACATTTACATAGCCAGGTACTTATTAAATCCTTTTTTCCTAATACTTTCTATTCGCGTTTTCATATAGCCTTTTTAAATATCCCTTTTGCTTCGATCAGAGAAAGTTTTATCCAAACTTAGTATTTTGAAACATTTTACTTTTTTCCTTACGCAACTATTACAGTATTTCCTCACGTATTTTTGTACCTGGTGTGAGCTCGAATAGTGTTTGGGAGAGAGGGTCTGAGCTATGTTACATCAGTTGCTGTCAAGTTTTATGAACTTCTCATGTGTTTAAAATTTTCGCCTTCATTTAGTTCTTTAGTCGTTTTAATAACCCCGTGTTTAAGGTTTATGGGTGTGTGCAATCGAGTACGCCACCTAATTCATTGGTCATTGACCAAAGCAGAAGTTTGTATAGATGAAACCTTTATTATAAACAAATGTCCATGAAGTGACAAATATAAAGATTTAGCCTCGGAAGGAGGGGATTTCTCTTGAATCCAGCGAAATTAATCTGAATGTTATTTCTGGTTATGAAACTTTTGGCACTTCTCTGTTTATGTATTTCACGAGCCGGTTTAGCAGTATTCTGTTTTGAATTTATATCAGTTCTTATTTTAAAATTACTTCATGTTCCTTTGCATAAACCTATTAGCCTATTAGCCTCCGAATGGTATCACATGATCTGACTTGTCAGGTGTGCTTACTACCCGCTTAATTATCAATTTTATGGCGATCCTTCTCTTAAATTGCCTTATGTTCTCCATTTGTTGTTTTCATTATTTCAATTCCTTGCTGTTTTTATTCTATTGGGCGTAAATAGGAGAACCTAACGTCTATAGAGTGGATTTCTTGTTTATTGTTTGTCTGCGTAATATTGAACCTAGTGGCTCTTAGTCCGCTGTGTCCATACCTCATTTCTTGTAATTGCATCATGTTGATGGGAATAGGATTCGCGTAGCCACGTTCTCCATTTCCAGCTATCTCATGGCTGTTTATGTTGTCCATCAGATCTCATCCTCACTGCAAAATGGACGTTAGTGTACATGACATTGCAATTGTGGCGTCGTGTGCAAACTTGTACTAGCTAAGCTTACTCCTTTATGCTCCTCTTCGCCTAAGTATTTTTTTTTCGCTTTCTAACAGCACTAACCAAACTTTTCGTGAATATATCGCGAATTTCTTCCATTTCAATTTCAATTAATCACAGCGTACCATAATTCCCATTACTTCGTGCATATTATGAACGCACTAGTTGTTATTTTATTTAATATTGGAAGGAAAACAAAATCTTACTTTTGTCAAGATGGGAAGGGGGATAATATTTAAAAAGTCTTTCATCCTTATACCCTCACCGTGATAGGGTTAGCATTACAATGATGATTTCGGCGTATGCACGTTGTGTGGCTTATGCGCCAGGGGTGTATGTTGCTGTTGCGTCGGTGTGTTGCAATAAACATGTTTTTTGTGCATGCGAGTATGTGGTTTTCTGACTAGCTAGTGTGCAATCAATGGCGGGCTATTTTTCCATCATTGGTTGTCGTCCCCGCCCCCCCCCCCCCCCCCCCAAACGTACCCTTTGGGATATTGTTGTGGTCACTCATGCCAATATGGTGATTCATTCAAGCATACTTCGCTTTGCCAAGACGAGTAGATGTAGTTGAATAGCACTATTATACGCAAGATGTTCTCCATCCATCATTTCCAAATACTGATAGAACAATTATTCAGGGTATTGATCGATATGATAATCCACCCCCTCCCCCGGCTCTCTCCTCCCCGTTTTGTATAGCTTTAATATTAAGCAATATTTGGTTGAGCTTATTCAGAGAATGCCTTTATTCCTGACCAGTTGGTAGTGCCTCCAGTTGAATCAACTAGTTATTCTTGTCATGGTTAGTCTCTCGGATTCCACCTGATGGGGAGTGTTCGAGGCTTAAAGCATTGCTGGGCACATCACAGCATGAGATCTCTTCAAGTGCATAATTATGTATATTTGATCAACTTTTGTTGATGTGGTTTTATAACGCCCCCTCCGTGCTAGACTTGTTTCAATGGATAAAGAAATTTTGTTTAATGAATAAAAAGAGTACAATATAATGTGATGTGCCTGAGTTTGGTGATGCAAGAGCTGACTAATTCACTGGGTGTGAATTCGGTTAGGTGAACGTGTGTGAATTAAATCCTGGTGCTCACGCACATCATCGCGTTGGAAGTAAGTCATTCTGTGCCCGATCATTTGGACGGCAATTTCAGCTGTTAACTGAGAGCCTATGATCCGATCGCCCCAAGCTCTTAGCTTGAAATTTATCGATTTGCCGCTGGTACTGTCTTGCTTACTCATAGTGACATGAGATCACCAAAATGTAAATGCAAAGACGTTTTGGGAAATTCTTGAAAACGCTATTCTCAAAATGTTCAGAAATGATATGGTGTTGAGTGCTGCTCGTGTTTGAACTTGTAATCAGTTGACATCTTGGCTATAGGAAGAAAAAAATTAACTTTAGTGGCTGTCGCTTTGATGGTTAGCTGCAATTAAAAAAAATAACTACAAATCTGAACATTTGAGCATTTGAGGCTTTGTACAAAATCGAAATTGGTAATCTGTCTCCTAACGTCACACTTTGTAAGACTTGTTATCTTTACTATATTTTCATCTTCCACTCGGTCTTTTCTCGTCGTCTTCAGGACTCTTTTATTACACTCCCTGTGCTCACAGTTGCCTCCCGGTTATGAAATACTGGAATAGTTAGTAATATACGAGCACAGCTCTGCAGAGTTAATGCAATTGTCTTAATACTTAATTTTAAAGATTGGTGGAGGAAGGGGGAGGGGAGAGAGGAGCGATTGTAGGTAGGCAGCGTTTGGCAACAAAGTGTCTTGGTGGAATGTGTGAAAACTGGTTGATGATTGACAGGCCATGCTATGACAAGCATAGGTGACTATACATCTGCAAGTGATCGCCAACTTATTTGCTGGAATTTTTTTACTAAGAATTGGAAGATTTGCGCATAATGTGTGCGTGTGTGTGTGTGTGTTCTGAGGTCTATTTCCACATAACGAACTTTTTATCTCAGCCTGTACGATCTAATGCATGCTTGCAAACTTGTTTTTTCTCCTTGTATTGCATTTCTCCTTTCAAGGAACAAACAGAAACTTTGACCAAATTGCATCGTCGCGATTACCCACAAATAGTTGGCTGTGGTATCTTCGATGGTCATGGTGGACCTGAGGCTGCCGAACACTGTTCAAATCTAGCGCCATTTCTTCTTTCGCGACGCCTTCAAAGTCGTTTCCTTGAGGAGTGCGCGGACAAACGCTCCTCGCAGACCCTTCCTGACATTCTCTCAGATGTTCTGCATGAATTGAACCTATCAGTCACT